CCATTTGCCAAATTTCATTTTTGTTGAGTACTCTTTGGGTTACTTCGAGCAATTACTGAAGTTTGGTTATACAACAAAAACAGGTAAGACTTTGCTTTATAATTTCCTTGACATTATGCTGAGTGATAAAAAAAATCTTTCTTCAAATCACTGCTATTAACATGGTGCTTCTTATAAAATTCTGAGGCTTCTAGCCCATCTTCTACCAAGAGCTGATCAGTTTCATCATTACCTGTTGTTAGAGGGCCTTCGTGCACCAGAAGTCTGGGGCCTTCTCTTTGGATTATAACTAGAAAATGTTGTTTCCAGGAACAGATTGCCTACAATCCCTTTTCAAATGACTTTAATTGCCACAATTAAAACATCTGACATTTTGATTTTTTCTTAAAATATCCAAATATTATTTATTCTATCAAAACAGCATCATAATTGTGACATCCAGTATCAGCTATACTTCTAAAGCATTCATATATTGGTGATGATTTTGCCTTTAAAGGCCTAATCACCCTTTTGCATTCTGAATTAGCATTTTCAAAAACCAAAGATTTAATTAATACTTCTAAATCCTGGATCTGACATCATTCTACTTACGGCTGACTAATGACAATCATTGTGAAAAATCACTGAAGGCTTCTTTGGGCTTTGTATTATTTTAGTAAATGACTCAGTCCTCTGTCCTGATTTTTCAACACTGACCCAAGCATCCAAAGCTATATGACATAGTGTCAATGTATAATCATCAAATCTAAACTGTCTTGGCCCATCAGAATATTTGCCTTCACTGAGAATTTGATCTTGGGAAAGTTTCTTATTTTAGGACCTTTCTTATTGTTCTGTGATCTGGCATCCTCTTTCTACCACATTTTCCATTGTAACTGAGGACAAGCTTCTAATATTGCTGTAGCTAAATCTTTCCAGTCTCATGGGATAAATGTGTTCCAAGTGGTCCATGAATTTAACATCTAATTTACATAGTGTGAATGCATAATGGACTGAGAGGTCCAAAGACACAGACACAGTCCATGTTCATAGCAGCATTATTTGTAATACCCAGAGCCTGGAAGCAACCTAGATGCCCCTCAACTGAAGAATGGATGGAGAAAATGTGGTACATTTAAACAATGGAGTACTATTCAGCAGGAAAAAAAACAATGGAATCTTAAAATTCACAGGCAAATGGATGGAACTAGAAGAAACCATCTGGAGTGAGGTAATCCAGTCACAGAAAGACAAACATGGTATATACTCACTCATATATGGATTCTAGACCTAGAGCAAAGGAGTAGCAGTCTACAATCCACACTGCCAGAGAAGCTAGGAAACAAGCGGGACCCAAAGATAGATTTACATGGTCCCCTGGAGAAGGGGAAAGGGACAAGATTTCCTGAGCTAATTGGAAACATGGGGGAGGGGAGAGGGAGTTAGGAGAAGAGGAGGACAAGAAAGAGCAGGAAGATCTAGTCAGGGGAAGAATAGAGGCGAGAAAGAAAACAGATACCATCATAGAGAGAGCCATTACAGGTTTAAAGAGAAATCTGGCACTAGGGAAATGTCCAAGCTTCTACAAGGTTGATCTCAATTAACAATCTAAGTAATAGTTGAGAGGCTACCTTAAAAGCCCTCCCCTGATAATGAGATTGATGACTACATTATATGGCAACCTAGAGCCTTTATTCAGTAGCTAATGGAAGCAGAATCAGACACCCACAGCTAAACACTGAGCTGAACTCTGGAATCTAGTTGCAGAAAGGGAGGAGTCAATAGCAAAGGGGTCAAGACCAGGCTAGAGAAACCCACTGAACAAGGGGGAGCTCGTGGACACCAGACTGATAGCTTGGAAACCAGCATAGGACTGTTCCAGACCCCCTGCTAGAAGATGTCATTTTGGAGGTCTGGTTAATCTATGGAGCCCCTGGTAGTGGATCAGTATTTATCCCTAGTACATGAATGGACTCTGGGAACTCATTCCACATAGAGGGATACTCTCTCAGCCTAGACACTCAAGGGAGGGTCTAGGCCCTGCTCCAAATGATATGACAGACTCTGAAGATTCTCCATGGAAGGCTTCATCCTCCCTAGGGAACAGAAAGGGAATGGGATAGAGGGTCTGTAGGGAACAGGGAGGAGGGAAGGGAGAGGGAACTGGAATTGACATGTAAACGAAATGTGTTTTTAATTTAAATTAAAAAAGGAAAAAAAGGATTTTAAAAAAGAGAAAGAAAGAAACAAAAAGAACTCACTCAAGGTAGAAAATCTGAAGAGCTTTGGTCTGAAGCTAATAGAAATACTGAGCAGTGGCCATGCCACAGCCTGGATGATGTTTGGTTTTGAATTTTCTTCTGCAGTAGAGATTAGCCCATTAGTCCTGTGTTCCTCCTTATTCAATTTCCCAGAATATGGAATGCATGCAAACTTTTGTCATAGAAGTGAGCTTACTGAAGGGTGCATTTTTGGCATAAGATCCTGGATCTCAAAACTAGTATCATAAAAATGTAATGAAAACAAAGGGAGATTTCTCTTAGCAATTCTTTCCTGGATTCTTCTCAGTAAAGGTTGTCTTAATGTAGCAACTCATTTTCAGAAGACTTTCACTCTATCCTGTTAAAAAAATACAAATCACCTAAACTAAAGGGTACAGAATTTCTACAGTTGCACATTCAGATTATTAAAATATGGAGAATAATAATATTTATGATTGTCAATTTGACAAGATCTAGAATCAGCTAGTAGATAAGCAATTGTACATTCCTGTGAGGGATTATCTAGATTAGGTTAATTGAAGTCAGAAAATGGTGCCCTACCTTACATAACAAAGAAAATGGTGAAGGGGAGTTGAACAATAGCATTTATCTCTCATTGCTTCAAGACTTGGATGCAATGCAACCAGCTGCATCAAGCTTTTGCCACCAGGATTGAAATATGGTACCCTTGAACTGTAAGTTCAAATAAACTTACTACATTTCAGTTTCTTTGGTGATGTATTTTGGCATAGTAATTATACAAGTAACTAATACAAAGGCAGTTCCATGAATGGTTGTATATGTGTCCAGTTCATAAACTTGGGTTGTAAAGGCCATAGAATCATGAAGACATCAAGCCTACATAGTTACTTCAAGGCCAGCTCAGACTACATATGACTCTGTTTCAAAAACATATATACGTGCAAAGATTATAATATTCATAGACAGAGTTTTAGATCATAACTCATTTTCCACGCTAGTTATTAACATTCTAAGACAGCTTTAAAAATAGGGCAACCAAACTACCATGATAGTAGTAATCACAAAGCAATACAAGGAGCAAAACATCAACCATCAGGATGGACAAGTGGAAGAAAGAGGAAGATTGCAATGATGTTAATAAGAAGTTGAAATTTTAGTTCATTCTACTCCCAAGAAAATAGAATTTTTTTGACTCCTCATTTTGGGAGGATTTTGAAAAAAAAAATAACCATTTTGCCCCTGCCTACTTTGTGACACACTTCATGACACCACAGACTTAAATACAAGATCAACCTTTCTGTCCCAACAAGAATCTCACTAATAGCATTGGAGCAGTGCATTGATAAGATTTGGAAAAGTTCATTCTATTCAAATAAAAGACATATTGGACATTAAAAATGACTTCAATTATTGAAGAACAAGCAAGACCTTTATCGCATCCTGTTATTGTCATTTCTTGTCCTATAATTGTGCAGTAGAGGTTTTCAAATAGAAGAGCTGAATCTTAGCAAAAATTATAAGTGATTTTTAAACTTATCAGCAAATCTTTCCTTGACCAAAGCTGACTTTGCCCAAACCAGATTTTGTTTAGTATTTATGTGTGCCCAGAGGGTAATAAGCACTATAAGTGCAATGAATAAAATAAAATACATTTGACCATATACTCTGATGCCTAAGTCTTTCCAGGGAAATGAAAAAAAAAAACAGTCGTTAAAGAGGCCCTTTGGTGTTTTTAGTCTACTAACTGCATAACTGCTAAAACAGGTTAGTACCTTAGTGGGCTCCCTACGCCTCTAATGTACTCTGAAGGAGAAACTTCTTGGGAATATTAGCCTCTAAATCACATACAAAGTTTGATCCAGTACTAAAGGAATAGTGGAAGTATCATGCTAGAGATAGAATGAATAAAGTTGTGTAAAAATAATCCAGAAACTAGACTAAGCCACATTTCCAAAAACAAGGTATAGAATGTAAGGTGCATGAAATAATTAAGGGTATTTTCTTCACAGTAAAAATTAATAGATCTACTAAGGATGCATCTCTCTTGCACTGTTTTATGTCATATGACAGAATATATCCTTGAAGATCAATATATTTGTTAGATTTTAAATTTACTCAGGATATTATATGTTTACATCATTGTCACCCAATTTTATTTTAAAGGATGTAATAGGTTTTTGTTCACTTGCTTTTGCCAGTTTTTATTCTTATAGCAACACATCTTCTACTTAGAAAAATAGAGGGAAAATCAACAATTCTGCCAGGTAGAATGATCACTGTTGACATTTATTTCAATTTCCATTATAATCATTTATCAGGATAGAAATTTACTATTACAATGCAAGTTTTATTGTTATTAATAAGCATTAATTGGGATGTATTACAATATTTGATACAGATTGTTCCATTTAATAATTTCACATATTCTCCTGACCTCAGGTACAAACATATCTCCATTTGCATGCATGGAAATCTGCTACTACAAATGTTTCAGTGGATGGTAAAGTATATTTGTCTTCCTGCTATTGTAAAATCTGGAGTGTGTGTTTGAAATTTCTATTAGTTAATAAAGGAATGAACTCTAATATACACTCATCTTGTTCAGAATGCAGTAGGCCTTAAAATGGGTTTTCATAAGAAAGAATTCATTGCTCATCTTCCATAGGCCATTGAGTCAGAATTTTTACTCTCGGTGTTTAAATAATTGAATGCTTTATTAAGGAAGAATAAATAGATAAAGGTAAGAGAAAAAGGAGAGATGAATGTGAAGTGAGAGGAGTTTATTTTATTTTTAAGAGGTAGAAATATTTCTTATTTCTAAATTATGAAAATATTTGTTTCAAAATATATTCTGATTTACTGTGCAAAAATACAGAGTGAAATAGGCATGACACATCAAATCAGTGGGGCATCTCACAAGATATATTTGAATGGAAATGGATTTTAATTAAAAGAGGAAATGATTAGAGCATTGATATTTAACAGAGAATACACTTTCAGCTTTGTATTCTAAAAACCAAATTTGCCAACGCTTTAATATGCATGGATTGTGTTTTATTTACTAAATTTTAAAAAATCTGAAAAATATGTTCTCCCACTGACATATGAGGAAATTATATAGGGAAAAAACTCTCAAATGGATCAATGAAAGACCAAGGTATTTAGCATTTCAACACTCTCTTTATTCATCCATTCCATTTCCCTAATGAATGTAGCCCAAACCTCAGAACCAGAATCTATAAAATGACAACCTATGATATCTTGCACTTTTCCAGGAAAGGGCTATGTGTGAGCACTTTGTGCATCTAGACCTACTTATCTTGGTGATTTTGGAATTTTAAAAACCCATTATCCATCTGAATTATACTTTTTGAGATACCCACACTGAAAACTTTTAAAACAATGCTTACAGCACATTCTATGTTCTTCAGTTATAGAACACACTCTTTTTCCCCAAAGCATTTCTCAGGGCTTTTACTGGCAAAGAATTTCTCTCTGCTTTCATAATTTAGATAGCAATTTACAGGAAATTCACTCACCCTCAGAATATTCTGGGAAAGGTCTTTATCAACTTGTTCAAATTCTTTTATATGTTACACACACACACACACACACACACACACACACACGCACACGCACACGCACACGCACACGCACACGCACACGCACACGCACACACACACGCACACACGCACGCGCGCACAAACCACACACACAAACCTATATGGTATATAGTTTTATAACATAATGAAATTCTGGGTTAACATAAAATAATGTATTTCCCAATGTAATTTTCAAGTATACTTGGTGTTCTTTGTACCCCTCACCAACTTTGCCTTCTGTACTATCTTTACTTTTCCTCCCCACTTAAACCCTCCCTCCCTCTCTTTTGCCCATTTTTCTCCCATAAGCTCATGGCCTCTTTTTATTTTCCTGGCTTCCTCCTTTTTTGCAGAAGATATAGTCACATCTTTAGAGGCACAAATAAGTGAGAAAATATGGTGTATGTCTTTCTTTGTGTGGATTACCTCATTCAGTGTAGTATTTTCTAGTTCCAGCTGTTTACCTGAAAATTCATGATTTAGTTTTTCTGTATTGCTGAATGAAATTTCATTGTGTATATGTGCTACATTTTCGCTATCTACTCACCATTTGAGGGACATTTAGGATCCTCCTTTTTCCTAGTTATTATTAGCAGAACAACAATGAACATGGTTGAGCAAGTATTTGTGGAGTAGCCTTCCAAGTCATTTGTGTATATGCCAGAATAGTATATCTGGTCATATATGTTAAGTGTGCTTTTGAGGTTTTGAGAATTGTCCACACTGATTTCCAGAGTAGCTGAACCAATTTTCACTCCCACCACATCTTTGCCAGCATTGTTTGCAGTTGTTTTGTTGATCTTAGTCTGTCTCACTGGAGTTTAATTAAATCCCAAAGTAATATAGATTTACTTTTCACTAAATACTAAAACAATGCCTGAATACTCCTTGATGTATATTTAACCATTTTTGTTTCTTCTATTGTGAACTCTCTGTTTATATCTGCAACCCATTTTTTAAGACTGGTTCATTTGTTTTCTTATGTCTGTGTTCTGAGTTCTTTATCTATTCTAGGTATTAATATTTAACATATAAAACTAAGAACATGTTTAAGCAAATCAATGATAAAATTTTTAAAATTTAAATATATTTCACTCAGCGTCAATACCAGAAAATAAGATATCATTTAAATTTTCTGATGGAGGATAAGACCAGTTGTTTTAGGATATAGAGATCAGGCACAATCAAGGATCAAGGAAAACTGAAGATATTAGAATCTCTAGACTCAGGTTCCATATAAAGCCTGGAATAGATTATAATGAAAGAGAATTTGTACATCTGACAGAAGCATTCTAACCTCATTCATCTGAAAATGACAAATTCAAATTTAGTGAAAGTTAGCCTGGCATGTGGGATATTTCTTGTTGCTGAGGGTTTCAATCACATAACAGAGGAAATATGAGCATTTTAAGCACATAAGTCCTCTAACATAGTGACTAATTATTTATGTCTCCATCATCAGAATATTATATAAATTTGTGAAAACCTACAAAAATAGAAGAAAATAAAATTCTCTGTAATTTATTAAACCAAATGTAATTAATACTGAGATATTATAAATAAAAACTATCAAATATTTTACATATAGGATAAAATAAATATTTCAGTGATAATTTCTTTGTATATTTAATTTTGTGTTGTTTTATTTTAACAATGCAAATAAAATTCAACAAATATTTTTAATCCAAAGACCACACAAAAATAT